GGGGGGGGGGGGGAATCCAGGAAAATTAGATGAGGCAGCTCATCTCTACTCAGAAAGAAGTATTAATGCTCAGACAAAGCTGGGCATTTTCAACAGCAGCAGAAACAAAATATGTATTTGAGGAAGTGGATTTTCTCGACAATAACGTACTCTTTAATAAATCTTTTTGTCCCAATGATGCCACAATATCTTAGGTATTTTTTTCAGTACTGTTGAGTCCCAAATTCTTCCGAGCTTTGTTTTCAGCCTGGATGTCCCACAGCAAATGCTACCTGTGTCAACCATCCTAGAATCTGGTTGGTTGCAAAGGTAAACTGAGCAACCGCTTGCTAATGGCATGAATTATGGGCTTCCTGTTCAGCTTAGAGGCAGGGTATAGTTCCAGGGCTCCAGTACACACACGGCCAGTTCCCTGAATGAAACTGGCTCATTTGCTTGTTTCATTGAATCTGGGGTTGCTAGAAGATTGGAGCCACCCTTACTGCCTCAGAGGGCTAAATATATCACTATACAGTATATTATTGCTGCACAGGAGCACACCAATAATCTTGCGCTGGCAGAGCCACTCAACATTTTATAATGCAATTCTAAAAATGGGGGGCATCCCAAACAAAAAAAATTGTAACTTTTAAACTGGACTTCAGATCAGCACCAAATTTGGAATGTCCATAGCGGACAATCTGCTCTTGCTGTGTGCCAAATTTATCTAAGTTTGTATGAAGGGTTTTTGAGTTATAATTTTTAAACTGTAAAGTTGTTTTACCCTCTTACAGAAATAGGTGACCCTATACGTCTCTAGATTTAAAACAGAGCACTTAAACTGACGAGGTCAATCTTGCCTATCTTGAAACAGAATGGTTGGCCCATTTTTGTTTATTTGAAAACCCAGGCTTTGGGGGCTGGGGGGCATTTCAAAAGGGGGCATTTCAAAAAGGGGTAAACAGCTACTTTGTTGTAACACCGAGCATGTGTGATACAGGCTAGCCAACAGGAGCTATATGAAATGAAACATTTTATACATTCATAGGTCAGGGATGGAGATATTTAGAGAGAAAGGTCACAAAAAAGAGACTGAAAAGAACAAAAAGTAAAAACAAAACAAAACAGGAGTGCTTTGTAAAAAGTAATGGAGTAACAGTCCCGGATGGAGATATTTAGAGAGAAAGGTCACACAAAAAAGAGACTGAAAAGAAGTAAAAACAAAACAGGAGTGCTTTGTAAAAGGTAATGGAGTAACAGTCCTCCAGAAATGTGGATATTTTGCCATGTATCTTCAGTAAGCATCCTCCTCAGGATTTCTGAGACCAGTCTCCTGACATAGATTCTCAAAGAGGGGATCAGCGCCATGTCTGGAGCATTACGAACTTTTGACTCTGTCAACCAATATGTAATTAGCAGCCTCTTCGCTAACTCCTTAACACTTTCCTGGCCACACAAGCTTATTAGAATCACTCTTGCAAGAGGAGTTTATTTCTGGTTATAAAAATGAAGATACAAAAAGAAAAGTTAAAAATTATAAAAACTACAGATATTGAAAATATAGTTAAAATATATATTCAAAAAGAATACAGAACAAATATTCAGAAGCTGACTTGTTTAAAGCTGTGAAATTTCTGGGTTTTTTTTGCTTTGTGGCTGGGGATGGTCTCTCTTGACGTTAGCAGAGCTTTGGGGCGTATATTCTGTCATAGTCTCCTGCCAAAGACTCCATTCCACCCATCTTGTTACTATACCATTGATTTGTGGCATTTTGAATCGTGACTACAGGAGTACTATATCCCAAATTCATAAGCCAGATGTTCGTTTGTTCAAAGACATGAATTATTTACTGAATGGGGAGGTTAAGGCATTCTGCACATGCTCAGAGCCACTGCCTTCTCCACAACCAGCCTGCTTATTTCAGAGCTGACCCATTACTCAGGTAGTCGTGTGGGACCAAGTTGTTTGATTTTTTATGATTACACCCCAAGAACAATTCTGGCACACTATTCACAACCTCCTGCCTCCACCTCCATTCACAAGAAGCAAACATTGGTTTTTTTAAATTGCAGGTACCAGAAATCTCATATATTTTTTACCTACAAATCCTGCAGTCCCAGCAGAGGCATTGACTGTGGATTTCTGGGAGTTGCAGATTAAAACAAACAAACAAACATTTCCCACCACTGCTCTCTCCCCTTCTTGGGCTGGGAGTTGCAGATTAAAACAAACAAACATTTCACACCACTGCTCTCTCCCCTCTTGGGCTATCATCACCCACCTTGGTGTAGCAGCAAGAGATGAGCACTAGAGGCAGCAGATAACCCACCACCAGGATGGTCGCCTTGTAGATCTGCTTGGCAGCTGGGTTGTCTGCCCAGTATTCCCAGCAGAAGGAGCTGTTGGGTGCCTGGTGATGCCCACTCATAAGAGCTTGATGCTGCGCCACTGGGATGGCAAAAAGTAGAGACAAGACCCAGATGAGACCCACGCCAAGGGTGGCATTCCGCTTGCTGCGGATGCAGAGGGAGCGCTTGGCGTGCACCACGGCAATGTACCGGTCTACCGACATGGCCACTAAGGTGAAGATGCTGACCAGCATGGTGGCCATGGCGAGGTAGTGTACCGACTTGCAGAAGAAGGCACCAAAAATCCATTCTGGCAGGGAATAGATGGTAGCCTGGAAGGGGACGCAGAAGAGCAGGAAGGAGAAATCAGCAATGCTCAAGTTGAGGATGAAGATGTTGGTGGCACTGCGTGATGGCCGTCTTCCTGGCCGGAGACGGCCCAGCACCACCAGCACCAGTGTGTTCCCAACCATGCCCAACAAGAAGATCACCCCAAACACCACCGGCACAATCACTGTCTCAGGACCACCTCCAGACATGCTCGGCCAGCAAGATGAAGCGTTCACCTGCTTGAACTCAGCATCGTGGATGTTGCAAGTGGTGCCGTTGGTCACAACTTCCTCCATGGAGCCAGTTTCCTTCATGGCTCCACCGATCAAGAGGACGGTCCTCCCTCTCCTTGGTCTCAGCAGCAAAACAAGGGATCCATGGATTCAGTGTGGGCTGTTGAGTTCTTGGACGTAGCACCAAAGACTTTTCCAGGATGAAGGCTTCCTGGATGCCTCCCCTCCAGATGTGTTCTCCACCACTGTGTTCAGCATAGGATTTCCCCCAACATCCAGGTTAGCTGTATGGGAAGCTTCAAGATCGGAGCTTTCAAATGCCTCTGAAATCCAAAGGTCAACAGCAGCAGCAGGAGAGAGAAATAATCAAATCATAGAGAGGCTGCTGGTGCTTTGAGCTTCTCTTAGAGCTGCTGCTGCTGCCGAATAAGCTTTAGAGTCAGGCTGAGTATGGGGCAGGCAACCCAAGCTGTTTCCAGCTCCTCCTCTCTTTTGATAGGCAGAGGGAGGGGAAAAGGATCTCAGCTACATGGAGAGAGTCACTAAGAGTACTCTAAGAGCACCTGGGATACTCTTTACTCCCCATTTGACAAATCTGCAGTGTGGGTGCAAGACCCACGTCAATGCACATGCTTTTCTGATAGTTCTGCTCTACTCTCTGTGCTGCTTCGCAAAACAGGCATGTGCAACAGGCTAATATTAATTAGCATGTGACTTTTCAAGCATGCTGTCATGAAACGCAATGCAAAATAGCAAGGCAGGACCTCCGTGTATGCAGGATGAGAGAAAGGGTAAAACAACACCCAAGCCATCCACTTTGTGGAGACCAACACCGCAGGCAATGGCTAAAACTGAGGAAAGGTTTTCTCCACACTTCCCAAGCTTTAAATATTAAACCAGAAGAGGTTAGGCTAGAACCATAGAGATCGAAAAACAACACACGTGGCAGGAGGGATGAATGGCGAAGAGTGTCTCCCATCAAGACAAAATTCTGGCGGGACCCTCTGGAAGTCAATAAAGGGACTTTAAAGCAAAGGAGGAAGATCAAAGAATAATCAAGTCAAATGGGGCTCCTTGGATACAGGACCAATTTTATGTGACTGTGGAAAAATTGAAACGGTGCAGCACTGATGCGCACGCCATTTATGCCCCGCCATGGGAACAAAAGAAGATCTAGCCAGTGGCCAAGATGACGGTAGTAAAGCAGCCTGCTTCTGGACAAAATCAGTCTAGTTATTTTAACATTTTATTTTGTTTTTAATTGGACCTATAGTTTATGTGTGTCCATAATTTTAAATTGCGCAACACTCTGCAATGGATTTAAAAAATTAGGAAAGAAAGATGATGATGTTATTTTTCCTGCTGCAGCTGCTACACTGGCTTGTCTTCATATTTTGGATCATTTTGAATCTTGCTGTTTCATCATCCTTGTCTTAGAAGTGCAGAGCTGGAAGGGACTCCATGGGTCATCAAGACCATCCCCTGTCAAAGAGACCTGGTGGGACTCCCAACCTCTGGCACTGCAGCCAGATGCCTAAACCCCCAGGTTACCTGGCAGTTCTTTTTGTAAAATACAGTAAAACATATTGCTCTTTTACAGAAAACTCCCAAAGCACACTGTTTTTCGTAGCACTAAAGCCTCTCCCAAAGAATATTGTGTTTTGCATCAAACAAGCTGGCTAAAATTGCTTCTATGCTTCAAGCACATTTCATACAGAGGGTTACAGAACAATTTTGGCTCTTTGAGAGGCTGTTTAACTTAACAACGTGGGTCTTCCATTTCTGAGAAGCATCAGCTTCTCTGCCTGGATTTAATAGTGCACTCTGCAGAGGTCCCCTTCACCAGATTTCTGAGAAGTACTTTAAAAATCACGCTTGGCGTTCTGCAGTGCTTCAGGGAAAGAGGTACTCTGGCAATGTGATAAGGGTTAATTGCACCCCTCAGCTTAGAGAACCATCCATGACAAACTCTGGAATGGAATATTAGTTGGATGAGTGTCACCAGCGTGGAATTTATGCTATAGATCAGTGGTTCCCAACCTTGGGTCCCCAGATGTTCTTGGACTACAACTCCCAGAAGCCTTCACTATCATCTCTGTTGGCCAGGATTTCTGAGAATTATAGTCCAAGCACATCTGGCGACCCTAGGTTGGGTACCATTGCTGTAGACGGACACCAGCAGTTGGTGGTGAAAACACAACAGTCTCCCATTATTTCTGACCATTCAATCTTCATCATGCCCTCAACCTTTCCCCCACTCTCATGGACACACTCCTACCAGCTTTTGGGCCCTCCTGGTCATTGCATAAAGTCAATGAAATGGACTTTTCTTTGAAAAAAAACACAACAACACAAAGTGTTTGGACCCAGGTTGAGGAATCTGGGGACTCCATGGGTTGAAGGGGACTTCCTTTTGGCAGTTTCTCCATGCTCCTGAAAATGCTGTACAGAGGGTTGGGGACCCTGAGAAAATCGAGAGGGGCCTGAAGTGTATGGGTGGGGACAGAGAGGGTACCCCCAAAACTGAATAGAGGAGCTTTTTGCAAGCAATGAAATCTGGAAACTAATGGATAGTAACATTATCAGCTGGCTAGAACCCTACTGATTATTTACACCGGTGTGCATGCAATAGTGTAAACTGCAACACTGAGTTGCTGCTAATTAATGAATCTACATTTCTGTTGTGTTCTGTATTTACAACCCGGTCGTCCAGGTCTGAAAAGTACAAATATTTCTGCCTTACTGTTCTCTGGTTCACGGGTAAATCCAGAGGTTTAAATTTGGCAACTCCTGAGAGGGCAAAGCTAATTAATTTCTCGCCACAGCAGTTACGTGCTCAAGCAGCATGTATTCGGTTTTTGTTCTGTATCCTTCCAACATGGTTAGTTATTTAGAATATTTCTCTCCCCTTGCCCAGCCTTTTTCCTTAAAAGGACCCAAGGCGTCTTACATCATTAAAAAAAGACAAGATGTAAGAATTAAAAATAGTAGTTATGCAAATATTTATAAACAAAGGTAAATAAAATCAACACTAAAAATATTTTTAAAAGCAACAGAGTACAACAATCCATTCAAAAAAAACCCCTTCTCAGACTGCCAGTCATCAAGAAAAGGACAGCAAAGATGGACTCAGCTTGGCCTCCAGTGGCGGGCAGTTCCAGAGTCTGGGAGCAGCCACAGAGAAGGCCCTCTCTCCTGTGTTCTCCCCCCAAAAAACAGCACTTGTGAGAGTGGAGCCACAGAGAAGGCCCTCTCTCCTGTGTCCTCCCCCCCAAAAACAGCACTTGTGAGAGTGGTGGGATTGAGAGAAAGGTCTCTTCTGAGGATCTTAACATTTGAGCGGGCTCATCAAGGACACGGTTCTTGAGCTAGCTTGGACCCAAGCCATTTAAGGCTTTATAGGTTAGAACCACCACTTCGAAGTGTGTCCAGAAATCGATTGGCAGCCAGAGGAGCTGCTGTGACAAGGGGCTTATGTGATCCGTGTAACCAGCCCCAGTCAGCAATCTGGATGCTCAAACAGTGCCCATATCCCTCAGCTCAGTAGAGACAGATGGGTGAAAATGAATGCTTGTGCCAAAGGCAGGCGTACGCTTCCAGAGGTGTCTGGAAGATTTCTCCCAATTGTGAGTTTATGAATGTTTTCTGAACTACAGCCCCCATCATTCCCAGCCAGTGTGGAAAAACAATGGGAACTCTACAGTACTCCAAAGCACCTGGTTGCACTTGACATTTAGTCCAGTCGTGTCCGACTCAAGGGTGCGGTGTTCAACTTTGTTTCCAAGCCGTAGAGCCAGCATTTGTCCAAAGACCGTTTCCATGGTCACGTGGCCAGCGCAACTAGACACGGAACGCCGTTAGCTTCCCACGGAGGTGGTCCCTATTTATCTACTCACATTTTTACGTGCTTTCGAACTGCTAGGTTGGCAGGAGAAACAATGGGAATTGTACAGTACTCCAAAGCACCTGCCAGCCCCCCCAAATAAGAAAGGCTAGGCTAAAGGGACCCTTGGCATGATGCAGTGAGGGTCAGTTTTAAGGTTCTGATGAAATTGAGGTTCTGAGTTTTCCCTTTGCTCTGTCTGTAGGCTTCATTGTCTACCCTGGATTTTCTAACTTAGTCTACTGTCCTTACATGTGGTGAAGGAGGGTATTGCATAGCCAAGATTGAACCTAAAATGTCATCGTTGCTCCTCTTGGTTTCTGTACATGCAATGGGATGGGGTGAGGAGACGCCGCCCTTCCAGCATGATGCTCGGGTACTTGTTCCCTTCTTGCTTCTAGCAGCAGGAGAGCTTGGGCTGGTCCTGACTGTACAGGAAAGCTCTTAGCCCATGGAGGAAACCAGATCTGGAAGCTGGCTTGAAATTGGATGGATATTTTATTAGAGGGTGTGTGTGAATTTTTGCAGGGAGTTGTTCGCTCATGTTTTTATCATTACCTTCATTGTAGGCACATTGTAAGTGCTTCCACTGACCTACTTTATCATCCATGCCATTATCTGATTGTACTTGTGTCTGTAATACTCATTTTAACGCATTTGAATAGAATATACCATTTTAGTTACTGATGGGACTATTTAGGTACAAACCACACACGCAAACAGGCAAAATTCATCCTGATGAATCTGCAAGTTTTGAGGTCACCTTCTTTGAAGGCTCCTGCAATTTAACATTCAGTGCCTTTCATTTGCTGTTTTCTTTTCTTCTTCTTTTAAGGAAAAACAAACACTATCATCTGGGGTAGGGAAAAGCTTGAAAATATGTTCTTTCTTTGGAAGGAACTCATTGTGTTATTCATTCCTCAACAGTAGCTAGATTATCTTTGTCCTTTACACAAAAATAATTGGTTATCTTGTGCTTCAGACCTTAGAGATCAACTAGAAAAATATGGATAAATACTCCCTCTTAGGGGCAGTTCTGATATTGCACCATGAAAATATATATTAAAAACAGTTCTTCTGGATGAATTCTTGAAGCTGTAGCCCCAAAACACAAAAGCATGCCTCAAATTAAAAAAAAAATACTGGCAATCTTGCCAGTTAAGATTGATAAAAGAATTACATAAAATTGAGAAATTCATTTGAATGTTTCTTAAAATGTCCAGTTGAACAGCCCTGAGAAGGCTTTATTGAAACTGAGGGTGTCCAGCCTTGGGTACATCATGAGAAGGCAGGATCTTCTGGAAAAGTCAATAATGCTGGGAAAGGCTGAAGCAAAAAAATACTGGCAATCTTGCCAGTTAAGATTGATAAAAGAATTACATAAAATTGAGAAATTCATTTGAATGTTTCTTAAAATGTCCAGTTGAACAGCCCTGAGAAGGCTTTATTGAAACTGAGGGTGTCCAGCCTTGGGTACATCATGAGAAGGCAGGATCTTCTGGAAAAGTCAATAATGCTGGGAAAGGCTGAAGCCAGCAGGAAAAGAGGAAGAGCAAATATGAGATGGGTGGACTCCCTAAAAGAAGCTACAGGAATTCATTTGAATGTTTCTTAAAATGTCCAATTGAACAGCCCTGAGAATGGTTAGCCGAGCACACTTTCTTGTGCATGCTTTTGTTAATGATGTCTGCATTTCTGTCATAGGAGGAGGTCAATAATGCTGGGAAAGGCTGAAGCCAGCAGGAAAAGAGGAAGAGCAAATATGAGATGGGTGGACTCCCTAAAAGAAGCTACAGGGTTGCATTTGCAAGAGCTGAGCAGGGCTGTTCAGGACAGAACATTTTTTGAGAATTCTCATTCCTAAGGGTGGCATAAGTCAAAGGCAACTTCACAGCACATAACAACAATGAAAAGGCATTGCTAATGAGTAAAACTTTGGGGGCATCAAGATTACTAAACAGAGCACAGCTTGGCAAATATACCTTTTTGTACTACAGGTTTTAGAAACCTCCATCTAGCAGCTGAAACTTCCATAATAAAAGAGTGTCAGAAGCTAAGACAGGAAGGTGGTCAATGTTTTGCAGAAGAAGGAGGAGCATCAAGGAGAAACTCAGTTAGCTTCTGGATTCGGCCTTAGGAGAATAGGACTGGTTAGCCGAGCACACTTTCCTGTGCATGCTTTTGTTGATGATGCCTGCATTTCTATCATAGGAGGAACTTCTCTATCTGTGTTTTTCTGACATAGTGTCTTTGTGGGTAAAATAATATCTGAGAAATCTTCAAGACATCTTTGAAGTTCCAACTGGGCTTTGTCCAGACCTCCTTGGGCCCTTATGTTGCTTTGCATGAACCCAAAGTGCAGCTTCCAACCCCATGGCATGGAAAGATTGACAGTAATGAATGAGTAGGAAAGGATGGCAGGGGGAAAAAAACCTGATTCATTTGAAATATGGTGCTGGAGGAGAGCTTTGCTGATACTCTGGACTGTCAGAAAGATGAGCAAGTGGGTGCTAGAGCAAATCAAGCCTCAACAAATCTCTGGAGACCAAAATGTGGAAGCTGAGGCTGTCCTACTTTGGACATATCATGAGAAGGCAAAATTCTCTGGAAAAGACAATAATGCTGGGGAACTTTGAAGACAGCAGGAAAAGAGGAAGAACAAACACAAGATGGGTTGACTCCCTAAAGGAAGTCACAGGTTTGAGTTTACAGGGAGGTTGAGGACATCTGTGTTTTTCTGACATAGTGTCTTTGTGGGTAAAATAATATCCAAGAAATCTTCAAGACATCTTTGAAGTTCCAACTGGGCTTTGTCCAGACCTCCTTGGGCCCTTATGTTGCTTTGCATGAACCCAGAGTGCAGCTTCCAACCCCATGGCATGGAAAGATTGACAGTAATGAATGAGTAGGAAAGGATGGCAGGGGGAAAAAAACCTGATTCATTTGAAATATGGTGCTGGAGGAGAGCTTTGCTGATACTCTGGACTGTCAGAAAGATGAGCAAGTGGGTGCTAGAGCAAATCAAGCCTCAACTATCTTTGGAGACCAAAATGTGGAAGCTGAGGCTGTCCTACTTTGGACATATCATGAGAAGGCAAGAAGGTTCTCTGGAAAAGACAATAATGCTGGGGAACTTTGAAGGCAGCAGGAAAAGAGGAAGAACAAACACAAGATGGGTTGACTCCCTAAAGGAAGTCACAGGTTTGAGTTTGCAGGGAGGTAACGACATTTTAGAGATTACTCCTTCATAGACTTGCCACGAGTTGGAGGCAACTTGAACAGCACGTATGCACAACAAAGAGTTAAAACTTTTTGTGGAAGTTTGCCTCCCATTGTTTCTCTTCTGATTTGTGTATCTTTGGTTGCCCCACATTTTAAAGTGGTCCCACCTGATTGTTTGGGGAGTGTTATCATATCATTCACCCAAAAGGAGGAGAGGAATGTTGGGCTAATGGAGCTATCCATGGTCCTGAACCACCTTTAGGGATAAAATTCTGTAGCTGGGATAGCTGGACTAAGAACTGGCTTGGTTACTTCCCACAGCACTGGAGCCATCTGCATCTGCAGCCCTGATGCCCTGCCCCTACGCTGTGACCTCTATATCCGATGAACCCCAAAGACTACCAGATGCCACCAACGTACGTTTATTCCCCCTTTGCTTGGAATTCAGCAATGGTGAAACTCCGTTTGGTTGTTCCCACGAAGTCAATTCAAAATGGCCACTCCAGAAGGAGGTTTCAGATCTTGGTGACAGGAAATGTCTACGTCATCCTGGGAAATTTCCTCTTCATTTGGTATCATGAAAACATTCTCATCCCGTACCTGGAAGAGTTCAAATTTAGCATTTAACCAGAAGGCCAGACCCACTGATATGTTGAGATGGGCTCTTTTTTCTACCATTCCGAGCTGGCATGAAATGCCTACAAAGCTTACATTATGGTGAGCATCGCTTTATCTCCTTGCTTTAACAAAGAAGACACCGTTTTGATGGAAATGCTTCCTACAAGTAATTTTGAGAGTGGGAGGATGGGCCATGTCAGTCTCTTGCAGGAAAAAACAACATTAACATAGTCAGAAGCTCTCAGCCTTCTCCCCCTCGGCTGATCCATGTTTGCTCCTCTAAGTATTGTTGGACTGCAGCTCCATCCAACACATGTGACTGGGCTGAATTATGAGGATGCTGTTGGAAAACGCAGTTCAGCAACCTCTGGAAGCCATGCTATGCTACTTCTTGGATACAACAATTTTGTATAAGCTAACATTCATCCTTAGCAACAAGGAGATGCAAAAGGTAAAGGGGGGCTGGCTTTGCAAAACAGGACAGGCGCAGCTCAGAACACTGTTGGATTTTTAACCTTACTTTTTCCACTTCCCGGAAAACACGAAGGAAATTCTCTCTCAAAACATCCTTCAGTTCTTCCTCACTCCAGCCTCTCCTCAGCAACTCCTCGATTAAAGCTGGATATTTGGAAACATCTTCCAGTCCCTCAGGGTGTCTGTTGGCAAAAGGAATCGCTGAAGAACTCAAAGCCAGATTAATTCCTTCCTGTTTCCACTGAATGCAGACAGGAGGTGAAAACTTGTGCTCTGTAAAATTTATTCCCATTGCTTTTCAGAAGGTTTGCATGATGCTTCTAGAACATGGGTGGGGGACTGAACATCCTTGGGGAACCAGATTATTTTAGCACCAAAGCCAGGAGCCTGAAATTATCTGGAAATGTTGTGAATTGTGCACAGATCTGAGCTCCAACAGAAGAGGACGCCAGAAGACCATTTTCTCCTCCCACCTTCCTTAACCAGAAGCTGCCCCAACTGAGGGGTCAGCTGGAGGAAGGCTTCTCTAGATAGCACTTTGGCCAGGAAGGTAGGATGTGATTTTTTTTTATTTCTTGGTCTACAAACCCCATAATTCAGGGAGTTCTACCAGAGACAGACGTATTGTAGACATTTAAATGTGGCTCGCCTGGGAGAAAGGCCTTAACTAGAAGCTAGGCCGAGCTAGGCCTAGCTCCTCCTAGCTTCCTGTTGAGAAAGTTCCCAGTTAGCAGAAACAAGACATCTGGGTGGAAGTCGGTCTAGCTCAGCCTCAAAGCCTTTCAACCGAGACCTTACTCCCAGGCAAGCCACATTCAGGTATCTGTAAGGAGTGTGTAAGTCAGGTAGAACTCCTAGAATGGAGAACTATGAGATTTTCAGTCCAAAAAAAAATAATCCAAAATCCTCATTCTTAAAGGTGACTTTGCTGCATGCAACATAGCATGGAAGAAACAATGTACAAATACAGTTATGCAGTTCCCCATAACAAGTTAGATTTGTATGTAAATAGAGTGTAACAAGGTTCAATTTTCAAAGCAACCTGATAATCAGGATCAAAGTGACTTCAGTGGTGTAATCAGTCGCATTATTTAGTTACTTTCTAAGGGCATGGTAAGGCATTTTACAGCCATCTTTACAGGATTTTGAATTTCGTTGTATGTGTATATACTTACAATGACAATAAATTATTATTATTATAAATTATTATTATTATT